GCATGTATGTAAGTGTACCCATGTCATGCAATCCCTGCGGAGGTCAGAAGAGGACATTAGATCCTCTGGAACTGGAGGTGCTGACCTTTGTTTGACCATGTAGATACTGGGATTTGAACCCAGGCCCTCTGCATAGAGCAGTCAGTGCTCTTAACTGCTGGCCTTGATCTCCCAGAGATCTGCCTGCCTCTGCCTGCCTCTACCTCCTGAGGGCTGGGATTAAAGGCTCGGACTACCATTCCAGGCTGGATATTTTTGAGGATGTTTATTCAGTAGCCTCTTTTCCAGGACCCTTAAGAAAACTGGGGGGTAGTTTTGCTTGTCTTTAAAAAATTTATTTATTTATTATTTATTTTATATGTGTGAGAGAAAAAGAGAGAGAGAGAGAGAGGAGAGAGAGATTGTAGAGGTTAGAGGACAACTTTCAGGAGAGAGTTGGTTGTCTCCTTCCACCATATGGTTCCCAGGGATGGAGCTCAGATCATCAGGCTTGGCAGCCAGCAGGCTTGTTTGGCTTGTCTTGATAATTAATTGAAATAACTTTTCTTTAGTCCTATATATTTTAGTCATTAGAGACTGTAGTCATGTAGACAACATTGTTCTCCTTGTAGGAGGTTGTTCCCCATCTTGAAAACGTATTATATTTGGCTTAGTACCATTATTGCTTAGGAATGCTTACTAGATTGAAAGAAAAGTGAGATTCTCTTAGTGCCGGAATCACAAGCTACATTATTTTATTAGATTCTAAAGGAGAAAAATGGACAGTGTAAATGCGTCAGTAAAAATCCATGGCTCGTCTAAAAGAACCAACTTTGGCATTTGTAGCTCCCCAGTCAAGGTATCTCCTGTACTCCCCTGGCCTCAGCAGGTACTGCTGGCCCCTGTAACTAGGCTTCTCATAGAGAACCCAGCAGCCCTCCATCACATTGAGGGAGTGGATTTCATTGAGGTGGAAGCGATCCTGAAGAGAGAGACAGTCGTCTGTGATCTCTGACATTTGTCCTCTGAAGTCATCTCTCTCATAGATCCTCATTCTGTAAGTGCCAGAGTGCTGGGGGGGGGGGATAGGAAAGGGAAAGCAAATGAGACCAAATAGGAGCTAAGATTCCAGCCCCTTACCTCCTGCCCCCAAATCCCAAGTTCAAGTTGCATGCAGAACTAGCATGTTGCAGAGTTCAGAAGTCTCTCCACGATCAAAGCCCACCACCAAAGAATCTG